TAATTTAATTTAATTTAATTTAATTTAATTTAATTTAATTTAATTTAATTTAATTTAAAGAGTGCCTAATGTGGGCCAGGCATGGCTGGGGACACCTTCCTTCCTTCAAGTTGCTTATGCTCTCTAAAGCACACATGTAGATAAGTAAGATGCAGTCTGTTAATGTACACTAATTAAGGTAAGTGCCAAAGAGTGAATGCACAGTGATGATGGGTAGAGGGGTTCCATCTTTGTTTTCTATTGCTGAGTTAGTGTAGTTTATTTCTGGAACCTCCTGATATATGAGATGAACTTAATTTTTCTGAAGCAGACTCCACTTATTCCATATCTATCTCTTCCAGCACCGTGCTCAATCAGTCACTGTTTGATTCAGTGGCTTTTAGAGTCACAGGCCTCCTTACACCACACTGAAGATCAACATAGTCTTGGGTCCAGTTATCTATTTCTGTTGATGTCGCCACCAGGGAACACTATGTAGTGTCTTCTAGTTTCCTTCTGTCGGAACATTGTTCCCTTCCATTTTCTCATTTACCTGTCACATGTGGCAGCCCCAATGACGTCCTCTTTTACAGTGGCCTCTCTAGATAGAGGCTGTCATGACAAGTCTGTGATTTGATTATTCACCTCTCAGCCAGTGAACATTCTTCAACCACCAGGACCTGTCATAGCCCTCTTTCACTTAACTTTTTCCATCCTGTCAAACCCTGTACAATTCTAGATATTCTTTTTATATAAGAACAGATAATATATATTATTGTGTGTGTGTGTGCACGTGCATGCGCACACACACACACACACACACACACACACACACACACACACAAAATGGCTTCCAGCATCTATACCAAGCATGTCTATCAAGTACTGTCCTGTAATAACTGATTATAACATCTAGTCAAATCTGTATTTCAACATATTCATAACTAATTGCCAAATCCAGGGAAAGTTTTCAATCCTTTTGCCAGACAGCTTTCTGGTAAGGACATTAATTTAAGGATGCATATGCCCTTTACTTCCCCACCCATCAGTCAAAAGAGTAGATTACCCAAAAACACATGCAGCCAAACTGAAGAATTCAGAAAACGTTTCATAGCTTTCTATTAAACTGAGCTTTAGGGGTGCCTGGGTGGCGCAGTCGGTTGAGCGTCCGACTTCAGCCAGGTCACGATCTCGCGGTCCGTGAGTTCGAGCCCCGCATCGGGCTCTGGGCTGATGGCTCAGAGCCTGGAGCCTGTTTCCGATTCTGTGTCTCCCTCTCTCTCTCTGCCCCTCCCCCGTTCATGCTCTGTCTCTCTCTGTCCCAGAGGTGAATAAACGTTGAAAAAAAAAAAAAATTTAACTGAGCTTTAAAATCTAGCATTCAAGCACATAATAAAAGCTGCAGAAGCTGGTAATAATGCTGTCTTATATTTAAAAGATAGTATTTCTTTTGCATGTTATAGTTATTACAATGAAGAGAATCGTCTAAAGAAAGATATGTATAGTATGTGCATGTTTGATATTAAAGGGACATCTGGAGCTAATGCCATCTTGGATATGTTAATTTTAGTGGTAGCAAACAAGGTATTTAATTCCATTGATTTTCTTATGTATATACAATGTGATAATACCACCATTCCTATTAGAAATTATTAGGATACTTATAAAAATTCCTTAAAAATTAAAACATTCACTAGTACAGAATATGTGTTAAATTCCCTTTTTTTTTTTAAGCATGGAATTCAAAAAAGTAGCCCCCACCTACTTCTCTAGTCTCATGACTGGACACCATGCATATTTTCTAGGAGCCAGAATTAAAATGTTTATTCATGTGTATGCACACACATGCTGTATGGATTAGCATTTTTGTGCTTCAGATTTTGCCATCTCTTGTAGCCATTTTGTACTCATCCTTTAAGGCTTACTTCAAGCTCTTTTTTTCATCCTGAAATTCTGCTCACTTGGGTTGAATGCTTGATAATATCCTGTGTGTGGCTTGATCACTTTGTTTTCTACACCATCTTATTCTTTTCTGTTCTGTTTGTGTTTCTGCCTCCCTTTTTGATAATGAGATTTTGACGGCAAGGGTTATGTTTAGTTCATGTGTGGTATGAACACCTAGTGTGATACTTGAGACATAGTATCCTGTCAGTATATGCTAGTGAAATTAGTAAGTTAATATTTCAAAAATATGAGTATCTAATAGGAAAGGTGGTATCACTTCATTTTGTGTTGGAAAAATTAAAGAAATTAAATGAAATTAATGTATCCATGCTGGTATTAGTTCCCAGTGCTCCTTTGTATAAGGTAAAACATTTATGTACATATGTGATCATATATCACGGAGGTAACTTCTCTTTATTTTAATGTCTAAATGTCCTGCCATGAAATAAATCTCTCCTTGCCTAAAAGGCTAAGCAGACCTAAAAGGCTATTAGACCATTTCCTCATTATTAGAGGTTAACATCTGACTTATCCAAAAAGATTATGTGACCTGTTTCTGAGATTTTAGATTGGGTTGCATATTTATTTGTGCGCTACGCACGCTTTTTGACAGTTTATTAGGGATGGGCAAGGGAAGAAGAAGTTGTAGGGGACTGCATGTGCATAATTATACAGAGTTATATAATGGAAAGTCCTTGGGCTTTGGAGTCAGAGCTGCTGTTTTGCAGCTGCAAAACATTGAGCAAATGATTTGTCCTCTTTGTGATTTTATCCTCATCAAAATGGGGGTAGTCACATGTGCTTTGAGTATTGTTAAAATCAAATGAAATGGCTCTAAAACATCTACCGCAATGTCTGACACAAAATAGATGCTTGAGATAGGATTACTGTTAGGTTGTTATTTGTGAGGCAAACTGTATGGTACAGAGCAGATGTTCTGGATTTCTCAAGTATGACTGCCCAAATTCAGTTCTTCTGCATATCCCAGTTCAACTGTTGATATTTTCTTTTCCCTGTAGCTTTGATTTACTGATCTATCATTGATGTTAGATTTGAAAACTTATTTTATTCTCCCTTAATCTTTATTTTCAATATTTTTTCCCCAACTTTAGGCAAAAAATGGGATCCAAGAAATGGAATGTTGTTCTCTAGAATCTGACTGGATCTATTTTCATCCTGATGCTTCTGGTAGAATAATACATGTTGGCCCCAATCAGGTCAAGTGAGTATTTTTTTAAATTTTTTTTTAAGTTTACTTATTTATTTTGAGAGAGAGAGAGAGCAAGCGAGCACAAGTGGGGGAGGAACAGAGAGAGAGAGGGAGAGAGAGAGAAAATCCCAAGCAGGCTCCACACCAGCAGCGCAGAGCCTGATGCAGAGCTTGACTTCATGAACCCTGAGATCATGACCTGAGCTGAAATCAAGAACCAGATGCTTAACCAACTGAGCCACCCAGGTGCCCTTCAAGTGAGTATTTTCATTAGTTGCTTTAAAGCGAAAAGTAGCTTTTGGAAGCATTTATTGGCGTGTTTATTTTTGCCAGCTCACTGCTGACCCAATTAGAGAAATAATTAGCTTGTTGTAGGTTGCTTCCTCAGAGAACCTGACTTTATTCTTTCAGCCTCCTCATTACTGTTTGTAGATATTACATTTAAATAAATTCTTTGGTGGATGATATATGGGTAAAAGGAGATTCAGATTGGCTTGTCTTCATCAGGTTTTAATTCTCTAGGATTAATGAGAGATGATTGTTTTTGGTGTAAAAGATAGCTTTAGTGCAGGAGTTGTTTGAAGTGAACCTTGTTTTGTTTTGTTGACCCACATCTACATCCAGGTGACCTTTCCTTCCTTGAAATACTCTTCATTTGGCTTCCCCGACACCACAGTTCTCCTGAATATTTCCCTCCCTCTTTGATGTGTCTTTCTTCATGTCCTTTCATGGTCATCCTCTTCTAGAGGAAGTCTTCCAGACTTTAATTATTACATGTCCTCAGGATTTAGACCCTATTTTCTTCTCACTCTTCATTCCCTTTCTGCATGATTCTATCTATTCCTTTGGCTTCAAAGATCATGTGTACACCAAAACTCCAAAATTTATATCCTTGCCCAAATTTCTCATCTAAGCTCAGCCAAAAATCTGGAATTATTCTTAACACTTTGTTACCTTCTTGCCTTTCTTTCATCATATGCATATACTCTTGACTTTTCATATACATATACTCATGTACATTGCCCCCCATCTCTCTCTCTCTCTCTTTCCCTTTCTCTCTCTCCCTCTTGCTCACCCCCTCCCTGTCCCTTACATACACACACACACATACATACACACACACACCTGCACCATATATCCTGTGAATCCTTTGTTGTTGTTGTATTACTAAATTTTCCTAAATCCGCCTCTTCCTGCCCTTGGCCATTGTCACCATGTTGGTCAGACCATTGTCATCATTAGCCTGGACTATATTAATAGGCTACCTCCTGGACTCCAAGAATTATTTTTGCACTCTTTAAGTCTATTTTCTTCTCAGCAGTGAGAGTGATTTTTAGGAACATTAACAAACACAAAAACCTAACTAAATGGATTCTACTTTAACCTTCTTATGGCTTCTTGTTCCTGAGATAAAGACCAGCATACTTAGTATGGTCTGGAAGATCATCCTCCCACTCAGTTTACTTCAGCAGTGCCGTCATTTCAGAAAGCTGGGGGCTGTTTCCTCTGGAATGTGTTTCCCCTCCCTGTTCTGCCTCATTTCTATTCATATTTCATGCCCCAGCTTAAATATCCTTTTTTTGCAGAGTCCTTCCCTGAGACCCCTCGTTAGATTCGCTCCCCCATCACATTTTCATTGCACCCACTGTGTCATGTTCTTCTAACACAGCAATTTTAATTAGTTATCTATGTGATCATCTGTTTAAATATCTAGCTTTAGAATCAGCAACTCCATAATGACAGAGAAAGAGTCTGTTTTGCTGATATTTAGAACCCCAGCACTTGAACATAGTGCTTAGCACAGAGTAGGTGCTCCGTAAGTTTGTTGAATAAGAAAGGTATTGTCTGCCTTATTTATTCCTCATGCTTCATGATAATTAATCTACTTCTCTGGATTGATTATAAAGATGATAAAGGGACTTAATTAAATAAGATGATGAACTTTTATAAAAAGTCTTAAAATCTGTAGTTTAGCTTTATTAAACCATACTTTTAATGTTTGTTGCTACCCACCTTTAAAAAAAAAAAGTTTATTTCTTTTGAGAGAGAGAAAGCGTGTGTGCGTGCTTGTGTGTGTATGTGTGTGCACGTGTGAACGAGCAGGGAAGGGGCAGGGAAGGGGCAGAGAGAATCCCAAGCAGGCTCTGTGCTGACGCAGGGCTCCATCTCACAAACTGGTGAGATTGTGACCTGGGCTGAAATCAAGAGTCAGACACTTACCCCACTGAGCCACCCAGGCACCTCTCTACCCACCTTTAGTAGTACTTTGAGTTTAAGAAAGTAAGAGCCACAGAGTGTGTGCCCTTTTGGCAGGTTCTAAAAGATAGGCACTTTTAAATAATTAAGATAATGAATTGAGTAATTTAAAATACAATCTGATTTCTTTATCTCTGGCAAAGAAAGCCTCCTGGCTCTCTCTGGCCACTGTGGCTGCTACTCCCTGCTATTCTTTTTGCTTGCATTCTAGATTTTATGCTTTAATAACATTGTGCTTTTGAAGCTTGTTAATGCTGTGAACAGATTTGTGTGGGTGGTGAGCAAATTATTTTATTTTCTCTTGCTTAATAAGTTTGATCCATAAGGCCATTTGCACTCAGAAAACCCAAATCTTTAAATATAATCCTACAAAAAAAAAGTGTTAAGTAAATTGCAGTTTTCAAATATTACTCTTTTATGAAAACTCTTAGTTTAGGCTTAGTTGCTAATCGAGTCTCTCCCTTTTTTTAATTTTAATGTTTATTTATTTATTTTGAGAGAAAGAGAGAGCCAGGGAGGGCCAGAGGGAGGAGGAAGGGAGGGAGGGAGAGAGAGAGGGACTGTGTGTGTGTGTGTGTGTGTGTGTGTGTGTGTGTGTGTGTGTGTGTGGATGAGAGGCAGAAGGGCAGAGAGAGAGAGGGGAGAGAAGGAGGGAGAATCCGAAGCACAGAGCCCGACATGGGTCTCAAACTCACAAACTGTGAGACCGTGACCTGAGCCAAAATTAAGTCAGACACTTAACTGACTGAGCAACCCAGGTGCCCCAAATCCAATCTGTCATATAATTAACTCTGAGTATTGGTCATTAATATCTCATGATAGATTCAGAAGTAAAAAATGCCAATATCTAGTATAATGCCATTGTTAAAACTGAAACATTAAAGAGTTGTTGCAGGACAACAAAGATAAGGTTCTTTAAGAGTAACTTTCAGTAAGCCAGTTTGAAAGATGGCTTAAGCCTGAGGAAGCTGCTTCATTACCTACCTCAGGAGTACCTGTTGTCACAGGTTTTTCTGTCTAACAAAATCTCTGAATTTGAAGGAGTTTCTGGACACTTAAGTGATCAGACATGAACATTTCAGACTACTCAGGAGGAGAGAACTAACTCAGTGTTGTTACTGTACTTTTCATTTGTTAAGTTTTATTTCAGTAGTTCAACTTTACCACTTTGATGGTGTGTTGAGGTCTTAGGTTCTTAGAATCTTTTTTCCTTTTCAGAGTTTTAAAGCTAAATGAAGTAGAAAATAATAGTGCCCAGCATCAGATCTCTGAAGACTTTGTCATTTTGGCCAACAGGGAGAAGAACAAAGTAAGTCAGGAGTACTTTAAAATTCTTTGTATATCACTGTCTTTCTATTTGAGAATATAGTATGCAAATGTGTTTGTCTTTCGGTGTGGCTGAAAAGAACAGCACGATCCTGTAGAAATCTGAGTGTTTTTGTCTGCATAGGGAGCTAGGCTTAGCCTCATGCACAGTTGAGATTTGAAAAGAGTTGGTTATATTAAGCTGTCTTTTGCTAATTTCTGTTTCCTTTCTGGGTTTCTCTTTTAGTTTTTATTGATGAGTTATCGACCTTTGGGTTTAATTAATTGTGCAAACTTGGAGTCAGTTAGGTTAAATATGAATCAGAAATCACATACCATGCTTTAACTCCAGGTAGTTGTTTTCTTTTAGTGTGCAAATTAAGAGCATGAAGAAAATTATGTGGAGAGAAATTTCTAAAAGCAGATCCACTGCTTTTGGTATTTTATCCATTAATTTATGATAGTAAAGTATTTTTGCTAATAGGAGGATCAGAAATCTGATTTAGAATTTTCTCAGTAGAAGAAAGAATTATGGGTGTTGGAGAAGGGTTGATTGTTTAACCAAATTTAATACAATTTTGCTATTTGCTGTACATGATAGGACTCATCATATCTTTTCATTTGTCTCCATATGATAGAATGAAAATTTACTCACTGTTACAGCTTCTGGACGGGTGGTGAAAAAAAAATTTAACCTTCTGGATGATGACCCAGAACAAGAGGTATTACTTTAGCCAGACATAGCAAACCAAATGAGTGTGTACTAGCCCTATGGTTTTTAAATTATGCTTCCCAAACTCTGGGGTAGAGGTTCGGGGTGAGCAGTTCCATACAGACTTCGTTGGTAGGATTGTGCGTGCTATTTCAACCAATGCGTCCCCATCATCTGCTCTTCTCATATTAGAATTATTCATAAGATTTTGTTTGCAGAAAGATTTATAGAGCCAAAATAATTTGAAAACACTACTAGCTTATTGCTTGTTAATATATACAGGGTTTTTTCCTTTCCTTTCTTTTTTTTTTTTTTTTTTTAACGTGCACACTTTGTAGGGAAATATATCCTGATGACTTTATGGCTTTTCCTTTACAAGACACAGATATGTTTATTAATGATCGTGGGCCAAGGAAGAAGGGTGTGAGGGTGTGGTAAATTAGTTCAGCCTGTGGCCTGAACTTGACATCGCCAGCCACTGAGCTAATACATTTTTATCCTTTTCTTTTAAAGAGGCAGTGAAAGTTCTTATGAAATCAACTGGCAGTGATAATGCTTTGAATATATAACCATTGCATGAATACAGAGTCTGTTTAGACCAGATAATTGTATTCGTTCTGTGACCATTTCTAGGTAGAAATATTAGAGTAGCCTTCTAAGGATAGTTTTTGAAAATCTTTTTCAAAGGTTAGAGGTTTCCCAGTATGTGGCTGCACTCCAAAAAGTATGTGGCTGCATGCCATATATATATGGCAACAATAATTAGCAAGGAGAAGGTGGTAGCAAAAAGAGAGATAGTCTCCATCAAGAGCTTAGAAAACAAGGTTTAGCCTGCAAAGGAAAAACCAAAAGGGATTGTAACTAAAAGCTATAAAATCACTGACACCCAGGCAAGAAGTCACTCTTTGAAGTTTGACCAAGGTAATATTAAGGCAAAAAAGTAAATAAAAAGGAACCATGTATAATAAATCTGATAAAGTTTTATGTTATGGGTAGTAAAGGCAGAAAATATAAGTGGATTAAAAAGTAGTTTTACCAAATGTAAGTGAAGGATTAGTACGTGGTGGTTAAAAGAAACTTGTGCCTGCCAAAATGTGCCTTCCTGTAGCCCATCCTCGGATGGCTGGCACAGATCTGCTTCCCCTGTGAGGCTATTGGAATCCCAGGTTTTCTTCTTTAAACAGAGTTCTGAGGTTAGATTTTTCTCTTGTAAGTCTTTACCATCATTAGTCATTTCCAAGAAATATCTCTTATCCCAGTTCTGTTCTGTGGGTTGGATTTCAGTTCCTAGTTAATATTCTTCCTCAAGTGTAAGCAGCCATTTTTACTTTTTTTTAGAGAACCAAAAAGAGTTAAAAAAAAAAAAAAAGATGGTAAAGAGAGTCATAAATAGTATGTGATAGGTCATCAGTTCTTCCTGAAATGACTTGTGATTTTCTGGTGTAAGACTCTTCCGACACAGTAGGTAGTTTTTAGGTTTCAGAACTGAGCTGCATATATTTAGTACTATCTGGGAACCAGTGAACACACACGTCAGAGGCAGCAGTTGAACACCTCTTTGGAACTTGGAGAAGTTCTGGGTTGCTGTCATAATAGAGAATTTCAATAATACTTTGGCCAAGATCTGCATAGACTTGAGTCTGTTAGAATCTGTGGGATGCTGCTTAAGTCTTCAGAATCTTGTGACTTTTACTAGGCATGAAAGTAGAGACACATTTCTACTTATGCTCTCACCCATTCGTTCTTCTTTCCACATTTTTAAAATAAGAAAGATAATAGAAGAGTTAAACTATGAACAGGAATAATCCTAAGTGGATAACTGGATTTTGCCCCTTTTTCCTCTACCTAACCCATCCGTTCCCTAAGACTTTTAAAATTGTGGACTACGAAGATGAGCTGGATTTGCTTTCTGTGGTAGCTGTTACCCAAATAGATGCTGAAGGAAAAGCTCACCTGGATTTCCACTGTAATGAATATGGAACTTTACTTAAAAGCATTCCACTAGAGGAGTCATGGGATGTGGTGAGTAGAGTCCGTGGAATTCAAAGTTGTAAGAATTTTCTTCATAGGTGACATTCATTGAAACACGTGCTACTGTGTTCATGTCAGTCCAGGCTCGCCTGTACCAATGACCACATCAAAGAGGTATCATCCGACCGGACAAAAACGAGTACTTCTTAAACCTTCCTTCCCTAGGAACTAGAGGACGCCTCCTTTCTAGAGGCCCTAAAGATAAAGTTTTATGTTTTATTCTGAGACATGCTGTTTATTTCCTTACCATAGTCTTAGGTTTTCTCACATTTTATAAGTTTGATAACATTTTTAAAAATAGAAGCGTACTGTGTTGAATCCCCCCAGTTATTTAAGAGATGATATCTAAGCATGTAGGGTTTCTAGGCACTCTCAGAAATATCTGTTTACTTTTTTGATTATTATAGAATATAAAAGTTATAAGGAAGAGTAGCTGCCATTTTATCCAATCATTTGTTTTATCAAATATCTGAGAGGTTTAGCAACTTGCCCACTCTCACACAGTGAGATAGAGTACAGGCAATGGAATCCAGGTGTTCCCACTCTTAAGACCAGGGTTCTTTTTATTTTCAACATTTCATGTAATGCCTGCCTCATAAGGAATCTGCATGTTCATAAATAATGACAATAAACTATTTCTAGCAACTGTTTTGCTTCCATGTACATATTTGAAGATCTCTAGCATAGGTGCTATGACATTTTAGTGACACAGTTGTGAATATGGTTGTGTGAAAAGGAGATTTCATTTGGCTGTGTTTTCATTCCAGACATACAGCCATGAAGTCTACTTTGACAGAGACTTGGTACTACACATAGAACAGAAACCCAGCAGGGTCTTCAGCTGCTACGTTTACCAGATGGTATGTGACCCTGGCGAAGAAGAAACAACAAACAGAAGTTGTGAAAAGGAGTGAGATACTTTTAAAACTTGAGATGTAACTCATGAGACTTTTAGCCACATATCCAAGCAACTATGTTCAGTCCTCCTCTCTGTTATCTGTGTAGCAAGTTCTCCAGTATTTTCTAGAAAACATCTTGTATTGACCTCACATGACTGTGACTTCTTTTTTAAATTATTGCCATACAAGTGGTAAGGACTTCATTTTATGGAGAGAGTTTTTTAGAATGACATCCCAAGAAGTCTAGCATTTAGAGCTTTTAGCTAGGTGGTGCTGCAAATATCAGGTGTTGGGGAGCACAGAAAAACAAATTGGTGCCAGTTGTTGGGAGAAGGTTACTGATGGAGAAGTGTTAAACATGGTTCTTAAAGGATGGTATGGAATTTTGATTGGTAAGATGATGCAGAAGAGACCAAAAAAAAAAAAAAAAAAAAAAAGGGGCGTAAAGGATTCAGAAAGAAATGCTCCATCCTGTATACCAAACTTTGCCTTAGGGTGAGAAATGAGATCCATAATGTGAAATAATACCTTTGAGCCAAAAATGTGTCATCATGTTTTTTTAATCATATATGTGTATATATGTATATGTTTATATTTATATGTAGCATTAGGAATTGGTTCTAGTTCTCAGATGATCTTTTCTTCCATGGTTTTATTCTCTTGGCTTGGTGTTCCCATTGGTTATTTACATTTCTATCACAGACTAATGTAAAAGATTCCAAGCAAAATTTAAGTGAAAATTTTTCCTGATATGTAGCCCGTTTAGCTCTGAATATATCTAAGAATGTTGTACTCATTTCACCATTCTGTTTATTTGGTAAGTTTCCCAGTTCTGCTTAGGCAGTATTTTCATACCTATGCAATAAGATAAAAGTATCCTGGATCCCCCCAGTTCTGTTCCTTGTGGAAGAGTAGATAAAGTCTCAATTCCTACTAGCTTGGGGACTGACTGATTAGCTAGAAAAGGCTTTTGACTCTGGCTTAGTTGTGAAACAAGTATTTTTGCTTCTTTGTTAGGACCAATATAGATATAATCCTTGAACTCAGATAATCATTCATCAGATTGTTAAATAAAAGCGATATAAGTCTTGGGAGAAAATTGTTTCTTTTTGCTTCCTGTTTGAGAAATCCGGTTGCTGAGATCCACACGTTCAGCACATTTCTCTGATTCAGCCTCAAAAGAAGAACCAGTAAAAATAGAAGGGGAGGAAACAGCAGTGCAAATCATTGCTGAATCAAATTTAAGGTTAAAATATGGGATTGTAGCTTGGATAATTTGCATTAAAACCCTTTAGTTTTCCCTTTGGTTTTGGCCTGACCCCATGTTAAGAATGATGTGAATTCTGCCCTTTTCTGCCCTTGAAGTTTGCAGATAAATGTCAAGCTAATTACGATCAACAGTGCTGAGGAGAAAAAGGTGTTAACCTATTCCAGACATCAAGAAATTAGTAGCAGAGTCCATAAATGTAAGAGAAATAAAAGGAACAAACCTAAAACTATCTTTTGTGCAATAGGTAAGATTGCTAACGTTTTAATAACAGAAAATATTTATATGTGGCCAAAGATAAATCTTTTTGCGTCTGACCTTAAGTGTAATAACCATTTGGGCAAGTAGAAGTGATTACCTTGTGAGCAAGGTATGACTATCTTCATATATTAATTCTAATCCTTATATCTCTACTACTGGAAAAATCCATTCTTGTTTTATGCATATTTAATATAATATTTGAAGCTTTCAGAGCATTTTAGAGACCTGATTGTGGTTACAGAGCAGTTGAATAATTATGATGTAATGGATATTGCCCCAAACTTCCAATTAGACACTAGCTATAGCTAAACAGTCATGCCCAATGAATTTACATCTTGAAAAACAAGTCCAGTAAGAGGGAATAGATTAAAATACCAGAGAAAAGAAAGAAACCAGTGTTGTATGGGTTTCAAAGCAGATGCAGTGCTATGTAAAAGCTGAAAGCCTATTTTCCATTTCCAAGAGTGTTTCAGAAAAGGTTAAGACTTCAGTCCTGTTTGATTTTTTTTAAGAAGAGGTTTATTGAGTTTCCCCATCTCCTTTAAGTCACTCTCTTCTTTTAATGAAATGATATGAACTCATCTGCTCAGAAAGGCATCTGAGAATTAGCTGAGATTCTTGGCTGCTTTTTAGGCTGGGGGCAGGAGTGGGTGGGTGGCTAGAATACTTCTAGTCTAGGTATGAACTGACCACTGAGAAACTCCGCATGTTTCACCACTGCTAAAGTCAGACTAGACCAGGATCCTTATGCCGTATCAGCCGGACACTTTCACCTCAGTGTAAAAGACCACGGTGGGGGGGAAGGGGAGGTCAGTTGTGGGCACTGTAACAAACAGAAGGGTTATGCCCCAACTGGAAGGACAGGCTGTTCCTATTTAGGTTCAGCTGATTGTGACATTTTGTGGGAATGTGGGCTGCATGACTTTTAACAAGATGGTTGATAAAAAGATGCCAAATGATACAGAAGATAGTAAAGAATGTGGGAAATTTACAGATAACACACACAGCAGGAGACAGTACAGCATGCTTCCCAAAAGAGTGTGGGTGTCCCAGCCCCCCATAGTGGCATCGCAGCTGTTCATTCCGCCACCTGCCAGCCATGACACCGCCATTCTCTTGGAGTGGAGGGACGTGGCGGTTAATATCCTCCTGGCCCCACCTCAACCCCCACTCTCTGCCTGACTCTTAGAGTCTTCAGTGGTGTGGCCCGCCTACCTAACAGGCACTACTGATAGGCATAAAACATTATAGGCAACGTTTCTGAGTGTTTAATGCAAAACTGAGGGAAGCAATTTAGCTTCTTCCAGCAGGTCTAGATATTAAGCTGATGAGAAGCGTATTGCTACATTTCACTCCTTGTGATGCTGTGTTCTCACAGTATCGAGGCAGCAAGATTATCCTTCTTTGACTCTAAAACGTTTCTCTCAACTCTGAGAGAAAACAAAACAAATCCTATTGTAGTTGCTGTTTGAACTGCCTAGTGAGGAGATGATGTTCTATTTAAACAAATTAAGGTACTTGACATTCTTCCACCAACTGAATGTTTTGTTTCTTGTACATATTTTTTTTTCTTTTTTTTTTAACATTTATTTTTATTTTTGGGACAGAGAGAGACAGAGCATGAACAGGGGAGGGGCAGAGAGAGGGAGACACAGAATTTGAAACAGGCTCCAGGCTCTGAGCCATCAGCCCAGAGCCCGACGCGGGGCTCGAACTCACGGACCGCGAGATCGTGACCTGGCTGAAGTCGGACGCTTAACCGACTGCGCCACCCAGGCGCCCCTCTTGTACATATTTTTTAAATGGTAACTTACATTTATTGACTGCTTTCTATCTACCAGTCACTGTGATAGCATGTAAAATGAAATGGTTCACTCAACATTCAGAATAACCATATGAAGTGTGAAACTACTGTTATCCCTCCACATTTTGTAAATGAGTATCATGAGGCTTATAGAAGTTACTTTGCCACAACTAATAAGTGCAGAGATAGGAAACACATCCAGATTCTTTTGACACAAACTATGCCAGATTTCCTCCAAAGCTCTCAAAAAGCAAATCATGTTACTTTGTCTCATATAAAGCATACCAATAATGATAATATTAGGTACAAGAAAATACTTAGTGTTTTTTTAATGATGTCTGGATATCCAAATTTTGGACAAAGTTTGGATGAAATACAGTTGGCCTATTCACATATATAACGTGACATAAATGATGGTTCTTCATTCAGTAGTTAAAAGTAATTCTTTAAAAAGGTACAAAATATGGTACTCTCATCCTGTTTGTAGTAATAATGAACACCAGTATTGGTAATGATTCATAAGTTAATTTAACTTCCTTTTTAATAATCTTTGTTATTTCTTACCTTTCTTAACCATGTCTACATATGTATCTAACTTTTAGAATTCTAGGGAAAATTCTGGGGCTAATTTCTGGTCCCTGTGTTGCTACAGAATCTTACAGAAGGAATAATTTATTATAGGCAAAGGATATATATTAGAAAGATAAGACCAACTGAGGGCTTTTCTCCATCATTTTATAATGAAACTTTTCAAACATACAGAAATGTTGATAGAATTTTACAGTAAATACCCAAATACCAACTTCATGGATTCTAAATTTTACGTGTTTTATTACTATCTATCCATGTTACTTTTATGATGCATTTCAAAGTAAATTGCAGACCTCAGTATACTTCCCCCTGATACCTCAACATGCATACCACTAAATAGAGTTTAATGTTCAGTTTTTAAAATTTTTGATGTACATTTACATGCAGTGAAATGCACAAATGTTAAATATAAATTTGCTGAGTTCTTGGGGCGCCTGGGTGGCGCAGTCGGTTAAGCGTCCGACTTCAGCCAGGTCACGATCTCGCGGTCCGTGAGTTGAGCCCCGCATCGGGCTCTGGGCTGATGGCTCAGAGCCTGGAGCCTGTTTCCGATTCTGTGTCTCCCTCTCTCTCTCTGCCCCTCCCCTGTTCATGCTCTGTCTCTCTCTGTCCCAAAAATAAATAAACGTTGAAAAAAAAAATTTTTTTTTAAATAAATAAATAAATAAATAAATTTGCTGAGTTCTTGCAAATGCGTACATCTGCGTAACCCAAACCCTTTTCAAAATTCAGAACATAGCACTCATTCCAGAAAGTTTCCTCCAGTTCCTTCCCAGTCAATGCTCACCACACCTATTGGGGGCTAACTACCGTTTTGATTATTTTGCCTCACAGATTAAATTTGCCCATTCTAAAACCTTATATGAATGAAATCATACAAAGTGGAATGCTTCCTTCATTCACCGTGTTTTTGAAGTTAATTCACTTTGCATGTACCAGTGATTCATCCCTTTTTATTGCTGACCAGTCTTTTGTATGAATGCGTCAATTTGTTTTTTCCAGTTTTCTGTTAATGGACACCTGGGCTGTTTCTGATTT